TATAAGGGAATTTTAATATATAAAAATATATAAAAATTTGGTTTGTGGCTTGGGTTGATATTAACGAAGTTGATATTAACGAGGGTCCTCTGTAGTTACTTTGTCACGCGATTTTTATAACGATAATCTAATTATTTGGTTCCAGTGATTTTCTGAATTTGACTTTTGTGTTACTAAATAATTTTATTTTTACAAAACGTGAACGTTAAAAGTTTGGGAGCAAATATTTTATCAACTATCGTAGGTGAGCACCACAGAAAATCACTACCTCTTATTCCGGAGAACCAAAAAAAAAAAAAAAAAAAATGAATATATTAATATCTATCATAGTATCGTTAGCACTAGCATTCCATGGTTTACATAAAAAATCACTAACGAAGTCTGGCGCATTATGTGCTTTATTAGTAGGTTTTATCACTCTGTCAAATGATTGGTCTACGTTTACAGTGGTATTGTTCGTATTTTATTTTACTGGATCTGGGTTAACTAAGGTAAGCTACTGTGTAGAGATTGGAATCGGTTTAGTCGACTAAAAAATCTGTATAATAAACTACTATTAGGTTGGTTTTTATAGGCATAGTAATATCAATACGTTAAGAGTGGGTTTTATCCGGTTAGTTCAAATAGCATTGTTTCCCTTAGAGATGTAATATTTAGTCATTAGGAGGTAGAGCCTGTAACGATAGTGAATAGGTTTTCATGTTTAGTCGACTAATTAGTCGACTAAACCGATTCCAATCCCTACTACTGTGAAATTACTGCCTTATTTTTTCTACCTGAATTTGTATATATATATATATATGTATATACATGCCTTAGTATAAAGCGGAAAGAAAAAAACAACTCGAGGAAGATTATCAGGATGGTGTGTGAAACTTTTAAGCAAATTTGTTAAATTGTGTCGGATTCACGAATTTCGAGGAAAAACATTCACATAATGCGAATTTTATTTTTTATTACATGTAGGTGGCCAAAGGACTGCTATGCAAGTTGTATGTAACGCTCTTACGGGAACAATTATTTGCATAATTCATCAACATTACTATGGTGGACAATTAAAATGCTTACTAGATGATCGTGGGTCAAGACTGCTATTTTGGATGTATATTGGGTAAAGCATACTTTTTTCTAGCTCTACATTGTAAATTGCTAATAGCTCATAACCTTAATATCCATCATGTCGATAGACATTATTCGACTTGTAACGGAGATACGGTAAAAATCTCTCAGAATTTCAGGACTATCCCGCATAATTCTACGGGTCAATGCTTCAATGGATTGTCGCCCTAAATATTTTTCGTATCACAAAAGTTAAGGTCTTTGCTATGAAATAACCCTTAGAAATAACATAATACCTGTAGGTTATTTTATAACAAAAAACTCTAAACATTATATAAAATATTCAAGAAGACATTCTCCAGTACACTTTGACCCGCAAAATTATGGATAAGTGGCTCTGCAATCACATTTAGCTATATAAACCTTTAATACAAGTTAATAATAAATATTTGATGTATATTGTAGTGGGCCAGCGAACTTGGCATTCTTAATAAAAGCTGGCCATTTTTAATAACTACATTTAAAAAGGTACATACATATTTCGAATATCATTTTTTAATAGCTCAGTTTAATAAGGAAATTTTTGTTAGGTTCCCCCAGGAACAAATGGTGGTATATCTCCGTTAGGTTTATTCGCTTCGGTTTTGGGTGGTTTTGTTATTGGC